CCCTGTCTCCTTTGTTCTTGTACAATGTGATAATGTTTGCATCCTTCATGTCCTGTGGTACTCCACCTTCCCTCCAGCAGAGACAAAAGACCTCGTACAGTTCGGAGGTGATGATCTCCTTACAGCATTTCAGCACTTCAGCGGGGATGTTATCCTTTCCAGGTGCCTTGCCGGAGGAGAGGGAGTCCAAGGCCGCTTTTATTTCTGCTAGGGTTGGTTCGCTGTCCAGCTCTTCCAAGATAGGCAGGCACTCAATGTTATTTAATGCTTCTTCAGTTACTACATTCTCTCTGGAGAATGTAGCTGCTAGAGGACTGGTATTTTAGTGTTTCATATGTGGACCATGCTGATAGCAGGGCGTTTAAAAATCAAATTAATTCAAGCCATTAAAACATTAAAATAATAAAAATATTCAATTTTTAAAATTTAAAATCAATTTAAATCCAATCCACCATTGCTGATAATCTAAGCTTTAAAAAGATTTTGTTGAACCACATCAGTGAATAAACATAGATACTTAAGCAAATAAAATATATGTGCTATAATGTGATTGTTAGTTAAATAAAATTATTAGATTATCATTATCTTAATAATATTAAGATAATGATAACTTTGTCCTTCCAATAAAACACAGCAGAAAAACACAAATACAAATGATTAACTTTTTAAACTGCAGATACAGTAGTTCACCTCACTATAATTTCATAATTATCTAGCTATGATGTGTTTCTAATAGTACAGTAGGACCACCATATCCACAGAATCAATACTGCAGGTTCAGTTATCTACTGCCTGAAAATATTAAATCCTCCCAGAAATATGCATTTCCAAGATGTATTACCAGAACTGGCCACTAGAGGAAACCAGAGACTACGCTGTACATAGGGTCCTACCCACCATTTTTGGCATCCATGGGAGGGGGGATTCGAGCCTACCCCTTGTGGATGCTGCAGTCCTCTTATATAAACAAATCAGTAACTTATATGGAGGAGATGCATCATCTTTCCCCTTCACTAAAAACAGGTGTGGTATCAATGTTCCCTCTAAACTGCATGAGTACATGGCTACACAGCACTGTATTGCTGCCACACACCCACAGTTATTATTGCTCATTTGTTTCCGGTTGCAGCCAGAACTTTGTGCACGTGGCGCAGGGTTTCTGCAATAATAACTGCTCAGTGCTGGTGGAAAATCTGAGGGAACATCATGTGGCATACATAGTGTATCTGTCCTGGCCACCTGAAGAGCAGTTAAGTCAGGGAAAAAGAAGAGCAAACATATACACTAGTACATGTGGCCCTAAATATATTCTTCTGCAAAGCCTTTCTTATAGCTGATTTTAACCGATACGTTCAGTTAGTAAATAATATCACAGCTCTTTTACATTGCCACATCTAGTCTGTTCCTTAACCCACCACTATGAGAGGTAAAGCAAAAAGTTCCCCTTGACAATTTATCCAGTCATGTCCGACTGTAGGCGGCAGTGCTCATCTCCGTTTCCAACCCATAGAGCTAGCAACTGTCTGCAGACAATCCTCCGTGGTCATGTGGCCAGTGTGACTAGATACGGAACGCTGTTTACCTTCCGACTGAGGGATTTACCTACTCGCATTTTTGCATGCTTTTGAACCGCTAGGTTGGCGGGAGCTGGGACAAGCGACGGGGGCTCACTCCGTTGGGTGGATTCAATCTTACGACGGCAGGTCTTCTGACCTTGCAGCACAGAGGCTTCAGCGGTTTAACACGCAGCAGCACCACCATGAGAGGCTTTATATCAGGGGAACATCAAAACAATGCAACCACTTTAGTAAAGGTATGCCAATATTTAGCCTCAAAAGTAGCCCTGAAGAGTCTTCAAGCCCTACAAAATACCAGCATTAAGTATAAAATAATTAACCCACATCCATTCTGACTTTACAGTATCAGATTTCCACCTTATTGTCATATACAAACCACAAATCATGGCTTAAGGTTTAAGGGTTTAAGACATTCTGCCAATCCAGAAGGCATCACTTTGGGGACAACTACACTGGTCAATTGCTAAACATGCCACCAACAATACCCGAATTGCTTTGCTTGTTTCATTAATCAAACAATTTTTGGTTTTCCTGTAACTAAAGGCAAGGAACTTGTTAAAGTGAGTCTAAAT